TATTCAACCACAATGATCCAATTTAGATAAAATTTTTAAATTTAGAAACACTAAATATCCTAATGGGGTGTTATTTGGAACCCCGGTATCAAGTGATATTTTTTGGTACTTTTCATTCTCCAACTGGTCCTTTTTGAGTTTTCTATGATATTGAAATAGAAACATGAAATTAATAATAAAGGGACTTTTCGCTACTTTTTCGTTCTACACAGGTACTTTTTTGAGTTTTCTTTAAAATTAAAGCTAGAAACATGAAATTAAGCATGTAGAGCTCGGAGTAAATGAGAATCTATAAAATGGGACTTTTTGGTACTTTTTCGTTCTTCAAAAGGTACTTTTTGAATTTTCTATAATATTGAACCTAGAAACATGAAATTAAACATGTAGAGACCGGAGTAAATGAGAATCTATAAAAGGGGACTTTTTGGTACTTTTTCGTCCTTCGACTGGTACTTTTTGAGTTTTCTATAAAATTTAACCTAGAAACATGAAATTAAGCATGTAGAGCCCGGAGTAAATGAGAATCTATATAAGGGACTTTTTGGTACTTTTTCGTCCTTCGACTGGTACTTTTTGAGTTTTCTATAAAATTTAACCTAGAAACATGAAATTAAGCATGCGGAGGCCTTAGTTAATGAGAATCTATAAAAGCGGACTTTTTGGTACTTTTTCGTCCTTCGACTGGTACTTTTTGAGTTTTCTATAAAATTTAACCTAGAAACATAAAATTAAGCATGTAGAGCCCTTAGTAAATGAGAATTTATATATATCTATTTTTCGTCTTTCGACTGGTACTTTTTGAGTTTTCTATAAAATTTAACCTAGAAACATGAAATTAAGCATGTAGAGCCCTTAGTAAATGAGAATCTATAAAAGGGGACTTTTTGGTACTTTTTCGTCCTTCGACTGGTACTTTTTGAGTTTTTTATAAAATTTAACCTAGAAACATGAAATTAAGCATGTAGAGCCCTTAGTAAATGAGAATCTATAAAAGGGGACTTTTTGGTACTTTTTCGTCTTTCGACTGATACTTTTCGAGTTTTCTATAAAATTTAACCTAGAAACATGAAATTAAGCATGTAGAGCCCGGAGTAAATGAGAATCTATAAAAGGGGACTTTTTGGAACTTTTTCGTCTTTCGACTGGTACTTTTTGAGTTTTCTATAAAATTTAACCTAGAAACATGAATTTAAGCATGTAGAGCCCAAAGTAAATTAGAATCTATAATAGGGGACTTTTTGGTACTTTTTCGTCCTTCGACTGGTACTTTTTGAGTTTTCTATAAAATTTAACCTAGAAACATGAAATTAAGCATGTAGAGCCCAGAGTAAATGAGAATCTATAATAGGGGACCTTTTGGTACTTTTTCATCCTTCGACTGGTACTTTTTGAGTTTTCTATTAAATTGAACCTAGAAACATGAAAATAAGCATTTAGAGCCCGTAGTAAATGAGAATCTATAAAAGGGGACTTTTTGGTACTTTTTCGTTCTTCTAAAGGTACTTTATGAATTTTCTATAATATTGAAAATAGAAACATGAAAGTATGCATGTAGAGCCTGGATTAAGTGAGAAACTATAAAAGGGGACTTTTTGGTACTATTTTGTTCTTCAAAAGGTACTTTTTGAATTTTCTATAATATTGAACCTAGAAACATGAAATTAAACATGTAGAGCCCGAATTAAGTGAGGACCTATAAAAGGGGACTTTTTGGTACTTTTTCGTTCTTCAAAAGGTACTTTTTGAATTTTCTATAATATTGATCCTAGAAGCATGAAATTAAGCATGTAGAGCCTGGAGTAAATGAGAATCTATAAAAGGGGACTTTTTGGTACTTTTTCGTTCTTCAAAAGGTACTTTTTGAATTTTCTATAATATTGATCCTAGAAGCATGAAATTAAGCACATAGAGCCTGGAGTAAATGAGAATCTATAAGAGGGGACTTTTTGGTACTTTTTCGTTCTTCAAAAGGTACTTTTTGAATTTTCCATAATATTGAACCTAGAAACATGAAATTAAGCAAGTAAAGCCAAGATTAAGTGATAACCTATAAAAGGGGACTTTTCGGCACTTTTTCGTTCTTCAAAAGGTACTTTTTGAATTTTCTATAATATTGAACATAGAAACATGAAATTAAGTACGTAGAGCCCGGAGTAAGTGAGAACATATAAAAGAGGACTTTTTGGTAATTTTTCGTTCTTCAAAAGGTACTTTTTGTGTTTTTTATAACATGAAATTAACCATGTGGAGCCCGGAGTTAATGAGAATCTATAAAAGGGGACCCTTTGGTAATTTTCTATAATATTGAACTTAGGAACATGAAATTAAATAAAAGAGGTCTTTTGTTACTTTTTCGTACTTCATTGGTACTTTTTGAGTTTTCTAAAATATTGAATATATAAACATAAATTTAAATAGGGGACTTTTTGATATTGCAGATATATACATTTACAATAATATTTATTTTATTTCATTACGATGAGGGTAGCGAAGCACACTGGGTATAGCTAGTAAACTATAATTTTAAATGCATAGAATTTGCAAAAAAAAAATATTTATCATTATTTAGCTTTTTGTTATTTTTATTAAATAATGGGAAATTGATTTATTAATTTTTTCAAATATTTTGCAGCAAAAACAATTACCTTTAACACGAATTTTTTTTATCAATAAATCATAAAAATAATAGATTGTATTATTTCAAAAATAGGATCATTAAAAAGGGCTTGTTAGAGACCTTTGAGCCAATTATAAATTTTATTTGTAAAATTTGTAAAACATTTTTATATGCAAAAAGCTTAAAGCACAAAGAGACATGCTGTCTGGAATTTGATATTTAAACTGAACAAATACAGAACTTTATTTCGTTTATTTATGGATTTGTTGGAATATACTTACTATCAGAGTTCAATAATATTCATTTTTTTATCGCTGTGCCTTCCTAAGTACATCTGTTTGTAACTGTACCTCTTGCCGTCCAACGTTTACGACACTCTTACCTGCGATTTGTACCGAAGTTCAACAAACTTCGAAAATTTGTTTATGTGCAACAAATATCAAAACGTTTGTACAGCCGCCACCGCATCGTATTCATAAATAAACGCTTTTTTTTCGCAAATTAAATTAATATGTTTATTTTGTGTTCTTACCTGTTTCTTATTATATTTACGTGCATAAATATAATGAAATCAGACCAAGACTTCTGAATAACAAATCGATTTTTGTGACATTGAACTCTTAATAATGCAGAAATTTTTAATATTAAAGTTATTTTCACTGACGAATCGAGATAAGTTTTTGTGTTGAAGTCTTTATTAATGTGAAGTAGAACGAAACTAGTACTAGTCCAGAACTGAACTAGAATTGAACTGGAACTGAACTGGAATTGAACTAGAATTGAACTAGAATTGAACTAGAACTGAATTAGAACTGAACTGGAACTGAACTAGAATTGGAACTAGAATGACTAGAACTGAACTAGAACTGAACTAGACTGAACTAGAAATGAAACTAGACTGAACTAGAACTGAACTACAGACTGAACTAAGAACTGAATAGAAATGGAAATTAAAACTGAACTAGAACTGAACTAGAACTGAACTAGGAACTAACTAGAACTTAACTTAACTGAACTAAACTAGAACTGAACTGAACTGAACTGAACCTAAGAACTGAACTAGAACTGTACAACTGAACTAGAACTGAACTAGAACTGAACTAAAACCTGACTAGAACTGAACGAGAACTAACTAGAACTGAACTAGACTGAACATAGAAATGACTAGCTGACTAGAACTGAACAGACTGAACTAGAACTGAACTAGAACTGAACTAGAACTGAACTAGAACTGAACTAGAACTGAACTAGAACTGAACTAGAACTGAACTAGAACTGAACTAGAACTGAACTAGAACTGAACTAGAACTGAACTAGAACTGAACTAAAACTGAACTAGAACTGAACTAGAACTGAACTAGAACTAAACTAGAACTGAACTAGAACTAGAACTGAACTAGAACTGAACTAGAACTGAACTAAAACTGAACTAGAACTGAACTAGAACTGAACTAGAACTGAACTAGAACTGAACTAGAACTGAACTAGAACTGTACTAGAACTGAACTAGAACTGAATTAGGACTGAACTAGAACTGAACTAGAACTGAACTAGAACTGAACTAGAACTGAACTAGAACTGAACTAGAACTGAACTAGAACTGAACTAGAACTGAACTAGAACTGAACTAGAACTGAACTAGAACTGAACTAGAACTGAACTAGAACTGAACTAGAACTGAACTAGAACTGAACTAGAACTGAACTAGAACTGAACTAGAACTGAACTAGAACTGAACTAGAACTGAACTAGAACTGAACTAGAACTGAACTAGAACTGAACTAGAACTGAACTAGAACTGAACTAGAACTGAACTAGAACTGAACTAGAACTGAACTAGAACTGAACTAGAACTGAACTAGAACTGAACTAGAACTGAACTAGAACTGAACTAGAACTGAACTAGAACTGAACTAGAACTGAACTAGAACTGAACTAGAACTGAACTAGAACTGAACTAGAACTGAACTAGAACTGAACTAGAACTGAACTAGAACTGAACTAGAACTGAACTAGAACTGAACTAGAACTGAACTAGAACTGAACTAGAACTGAACTAGAACTGAACTAGAACTGAACTAGAACTGAACTAGAACTGAACTAGAACTGAACTAGAACTGAACTAGAACTGAACTAGAAACTGAACTAGAACTGAACTAGAACTGAACTAGAACTGAACTAGAACTAGAACTGAACTAGAACTAGAACTGAACTATATCTAAATTAGAACAGAACTGGATCTTACCTAGAGCTATTGCACAATGTAGACAATTTTGAACAAAAAACATTGAAAAATGAACTGGTTCCAAAATTATTCTTTAGAATTGCTCTCCAAAATTTGACAGAACAACTCTATAATTGTTCTTGTACAAAAACAACCACATTTAATAAATATTTATTTAAATTACACAACGATTTATTAAAATCCAAAATAGTAGCACAACAAAGCCAAACTTTTCCATAATACCGGCTGAATTTATGGGTATACCATGTTCATCTTCTTCACTATCACCGGAAAGATATTTATTGCAACCGTTGGAAGAGCAAACACGACAAGACTCCATGGGAGCACCATTATATAAAGATTGACAGGTCAAATATTTGTTGGCATTAATAAAGTTGGTGCAGCCACGATTCGTAATAACGGTGTTATTAACTATAATGATGAAATTTTATAAATTAATTTAATAAAAAGAAAAATTTAGCTTTACGTTTACTACCTTGGTATTTAATCATATAACAAACAGGTTCATTAATTTTCAATAAAGATTGAACACTACGTCTCTCATTGGTGGGATCTTCATATTCTAAATAGTCGTCATAGTCCGGTATTGCTGCAGGATTTGGTTTTTTAGTGGTAACAGCAGCAGCAACAGCCGTAGAAGTTGTTGTCTTAATGGCAGTAGTAGTTGGGGTTGTAGTTTGAGTTGTTTCTTTAAGAGTTGCAGACTGGGTTGTTGTATTTTTCTGCTCGGTAGCTGTTGTGGGCTTTAAAGCAGATGTTGTGGTGGGCTTGGTGGTTGTTTTACTCGTAGAAGCAGTTGTGATAGCTGGCTTTGTGGTTGTTTTCGTATTAGTGTTTAATACACTCACCTCATCATGCGACTCCTCACTGTCATTGTAATCCTCATTATTTGGTGATAATGTTGGTCTTAGGCTGGGTTTGTTAGATGGTTTCTGTGTTACGACCACCGCAGGCTTAATTGTGGGTCCACCCTCTAAAGTACCCGGTAATGTTAAAGGTTTCTCCGTTACCACAATGGGTATTTCACCACATATATGCAATTCTTTAAAATCTTCATACTCATTACAATCTTCACAGACATAACATTGGAGACCTTGAACTTTAGGGGAAGAACAATGTTCAATTAAAGTGCTTATGTTCTTCTTTTTGTTTATCGCAAATAAATTAAGAAATTATTTATAATACTTGAGTATCATACACATTGCTTTTATAATTATTTATTGGTATTTTTATGTTTTATCTAAACTATCTTATCTTGTGTAATTATTTATGTTTCAACATTATTATCATCATTTATGTACATTTTAACTCATAAAAATACAAATAATGGTATATTTATGTACATCTGTATATATAATAATAATACCCTCCCCACTATAGTGTTGTAGGGTATAAAAATGTTATTGACAATTTAGTTTGAAGTTAATACTTTCCAGTTATTAGTCATGTTGCTCTCAGATTATTACCCCTAAATGAATGACCGATTAAAGTGTTGGAAATCATGACTACATCATTATAATCCTATAATATTGTACGTAATAGATTCGAACAAACAAACAAACTTTTCCCAAGTTGAAGAAATGTCACCCTACACACACATATTGTCAATTACAAGACAATGCGACTTATAAAATTTAATTTATTTAATTAACACCAGAGACCTTTTAGCAAGAAAAATTAATAATTGTGTCAATGTTAAGTGATAAAAAAATAATATTAGCAATTTTATGATAAAGATTCTTATCACGAAATTTCTCCAGAAACAATTAATTAAATTTTTTTTAAAGCATGTGTAATAAAAATTATAAAAATAATTTTCAAATCTAACGAAAAATTTTTTTCATAACTCATTCTCTACTCTGGTTTAATTCAAATTATTTACAAGCTAATTTACATAAGTACATATATATGTATACACATTAGGGACTAATAAGGAAAACTTTTTCTCTAGTCATTTTAGTGCAAAAACCATTCTCAGCAAATCGAATTTCTGAAATCTTTTACAAACAAAATCTACTTGTTGTGGTACTAAATTTAGAAGAGAGACACACCGCAGCCCCTATCCTTGCTTTCCTTCCAAGTAAATATCTTTAGTCAAATAATGACACTTAATTACATCAAAAATTTTCGAATTTGTATTCAAATTATTCGAATTTCAAATCATGTTTGGGTTAATATTGCTCGTGAAAAAAGTGATATAATTTTTCAACGTAGCTGTACGCAGAGTGCTATAAAAAAAAACTTCTGGATTTTGAAGGTTCTATCTATAATACTTTTTCGGATATAGTTTTTTTACATATTGAAGATGGCATTTTTCTCGATTTCGCCGATTTTTCCATACGTTAATGAAGATCTTAATATAATCTATTAAATTTTGGAATAATTTAATAGTTTCCAGATATATGAAATGTTGTATTTAATTCATATGGGAGGCCAATCCCTTTGCTGAAAGCCCACTTATTTTTTTTTCTAAATGTTCACATGTCGAAGTTCTTCATGTAAAATTTGAAAAATTTAGCTGTAATAGTTTCTTTAGATATCCGATTTTTTCGAGATAATTCATACGGGGTTGCAGTTAGTATTTAGTAAGTTAGTTAGTTAGTTAGTTAGTTAGTTAGTAGTTAGTTAGTTCGTTAGGTAGTTAGTTAGTTAGTTAGTTAGTTAGTTAGTTAGTTAGTTAGTTAGTTAGTTAGTAGTTAGTTAGTTAGTTAGTTAGTTAGTTAGTTAGTTAGTAGTTAGTTAGGTTAGTTAGTTAGTTAGTTAGTTAGTTAGTAGTTAGTAGTAGTTAGTAGTTAGTTAGTTAGTTCGTTATAGTAGTTAGTTAGTTAGTTAGTTAGTTAGTTAGTTAGTTAGTTAGTTAGTTAGTTAGTTAGTTAGTAGTTAGTTAGTTAGTTAGTTAGTTAGTTAGTTAGTTAGTTAGTTGTTAGTTAGTTAGTTAGTTAGTTAGTTAGTTAGTTAGTAGTTAGTTAGTTAGTTAGTTAGTTAGTTAGTTAGTTAGTTAGTTAGTTAGTAAGTTAGTTAGTTAGTTAGTTAGTTAGTTAGTTAGTTAGTTAGTTAGTTAGTTAGTTAGTTAGTTAGTTAGTTAGTTAGTTAGTTAGTTAGTTAGTTAGTTAGTTAGTTAGTTAGTTAGTTAGTTAGTTAGTTAGTTAGTTAGTTAGTTAGTTAGTTAGTTAGTTAGTTAGTTAGTTAGTTAGTTAGTTAGTTAGTTAGTTAGTTAGTTAGTTAGTTAGTTAGTTAGTTAGTTAGTTAGTTAGTTAGTTAGTTAGTTTAGTAGTTAGTTAGTTAGTTAGTTAGTTAGTTAGTTAGTTAGTTAGTAGTTAGTTAGTTAGTTAGTTAGTTAGTTAGTTAGTTAGTTAGTTAGTTAGTAGTTAGTTAGTTAGTTAGTTAGTAGTAGTTAGTTAGTAGTTAGTTAGTTAGTTAGTTAGTTAGGTTAGTTAGTTAGTTAGTTAGTTAGTAGTTTAGTTAGTTAGTTAGTTAGTTAGTTAGTTAGTTAGTTAGGAGTTAGTTAGTTAGTTAGTTAGTTAGTTAGTTAGTTAGTTAGTTAGTTAGTTAGTTAGTTAGTTAGTTAGTTAGTTAGTTAGTTAGTTAGTTAGTTAGTTAGTTAGTTAGTTAGTTAGTTAGTTAGTTAGTTAGTTAGTTAGTTAGTTAGTTAGTTAGTTAGTTAGTTAGTTAGTTAGTTAGTTAGTTAGTTAGTTAGTTAGTTAGTTAGTTAGTAGTTAGTTAGTTAGTTAGTTAGTTAGTTAGTTAGTTAGTTAGTTAGTTAGTAGTTAGTTAGTAGTTAGTTAGTAGTTAGTTAGTTAGTTAGTTAGTTAGTTAGTTAGTTAGTTAGTTAGTTAGTTAGTTAGTAGTTAGTTAGTTAGTTAGTTAGTAGTTAGTTAGTTAGTAGTTAGTTAGTTAGTTAGTTAGTTAGTTAGTTAGTTAGTTAGTTAGTTAGTTAGTAGTTAGTTAGTTAGTTAGTTAGTTAGTTAGTTAGTTAGTTAGTTAGTTAGTTAGTTAGTTAGTTAGTAGTTAGTTAGTTAGTTAGTTAGTTAGTTAGTTAGTTAGTTAGTTAGTTAGTTAGTTAGTTAGTTAGTTAGTAGTTAGTTAGTTAGTTAGTTAGTAGTTAGTTAGTTAGTAGTTAGTTAGTTAGTTAGTTAGTTAGTTAGTTAGTAGTTAGTTAGTTAGTTAGTTAGTTAGTTAGTTAGTTAGTTAGTTAGTTAGTTAGTAGTTAGTTAGTTAGTAGTTAGTTAGTAGTTAGTTAGTTAGTTAGTTAGTTAGTTAGTTAGTTAGTTAGTTAGTAGTTAGTTAGTTAGTTAGTTAGTTAGTTAGTTAGTTAGTTAGTTAGTTAGTTAGTTAGTTAGTTAGTTAGTTAGTTAGTTAGTTAGTTAGTTAGTTAGTTAGTTAGTTAGTTAGTTAGTTAGTTAGTTAGTTAGTTAGTTAGTTAGTTAGTTAGTTAGTTAGTTAGTTAGTTAGTTAGTTAGTTAGTTAGTTAGTTAGTTAGTTAGTTAGTTAGTTAGTTAGTTAGTTAGTTAGTAGTTAGTTAGTTAGTTAGTTAGTTAGTTAGTTAGTTAGTTAGTTAGTTAGTTAGTTAGTTAGTTAGTTAGTTAGTTAGTTAGTTAGTTCAAAAACGTCCATAGCATGTAAAGAGTTAAATGCTAAAATTTACTTACACAACGGCATTTCAAATCATTATTTCAATACGGCAATGTCATTGGTAAGTACCTACCACAATCGTTTACAACTAATTAGAGAAATCAGTGAATGTAAATCGTGTTTATCTTCATGGAAAGTTGCCTAATTAACATGAGTATTTATAAGTATTTATATAACACATTATTAATAAGACATTACTGGACTACTTCTGTGTAATCAGTCATTTAGTCATTGAAAAGTATGCTAATAGGTAAGTAGTAACAACTGAAAGTCATTACCAAGTTTTTGCTGGTATAATTTCCGAACACTATAAACCATATACATACATATACATATATGTTTATTTCGAGTCCTCATATATAGCATAAAGTCGAGTCGATTCAAGTTTTAGAAAAGTTCGTTATTTAAATTCTGCGAATTGGACCTATAATCAAAAATAAGTATTTTTTTAAATTAACATTAACTGAAACTTTTTGGTATTACTGCAATATTGAACCTAGAAACATGTATATAATCAGACATGCAGTATCCTGATGGAATGAAAATCTATAAGAGTGTATTTTTGGTATTTTTTGATCTTGAAATTTTTGAATCTTTTTGAAAAGTGTATTCACTTTCCAAGCGTTAACTCCTTAACAATTTACACAATTTGTCTATAACTCTCTCAATTACACTTGTTATCTAAATTAAAGAACATAACAGCCACTATGGCTACTTGGACCATGGGATTTACAATTTGTATGACACATTTAACTTGTGTATGCTTTTATTGTTATTATTTTGTGTTCATAAAAGTTGACTTTTAATAATAGTAATATTTGTATGAAGGAATCTGAGCTTGTGGCTGTTTGGGGTAAAGAATTCTATATTGTAAAAGTATCTTTGAGTATGAGAAATGTAAATATTTGCTAAATACTTTTGTTTTGTATCTTTCATTGCTTCTATTTACAAGCATTTTATTGTCTATCGTTATCGTTAACATTATGTTGTCATTGTAAATTTTTATATGTATTTATATTTTCTTCCAGTATTGAATTTGTTATAAAAATCTTTTTCTTACACATGATTAACTTTTTATGTATCAAATACAGTATTGATTTTTTCCAGTAATCGGAAATACAGAATTAGTTTGACTAAATCGCAAATCGCTTTTTAATACCTTCTACTATTGATTTTGTGGCCACTTGTATCAATAATAAACTAAAAATTACACTTTTCCAACTCATTTTAATTATTTTCCAATCTTTAAATTTAAGATATGATTTTTTTATAATTTCCTTATTTCTCGAAACCGTACAACCATTTAACCGACAAACGTCTAAATTTATACTGATTGTTAATGAACTTTTATTAATTTTTCCACTTCAAATCAAATTTCAATAAAAGAATCTTTAGATGTTGTTCTTTTTCTTCTTATTACCAAAAACATATTGAAGAACTTGATATTTGTCTTTTTTAAAGAACATAAATGCGAAAAAGGAATTGCAATTTTAACTGATAAAATCGGCTGCTTTTTTGTCATGTAAACATGTCAATAACAGATACGGGTATTGAAAAGTAGTTGTTATAAAAAAAATTATTAAGAATACTGAAAATTAAAAGTTACCATTTAACAAAAAGAGTAATAGGAAAAAATATTTTATCAGTGTTAATAGCAATTTACATTTTTAGTGTATTAGAAATGAAAAAATGACTATAAAAGGTAATGATATCAATAAGGAAATATTCAAGCATTTACATATAACTGTGATTAAGTTTTTTCTACTACTTACTCAAACTACTAGAAACATTTAAATATATCTTAGTAAATATTGGTTAATACAATTCCAGTTCAGTTCTAGTTCAGTTCTAGTTCAGTTCTAGTTCAGTTCTAGTTCAGTTCTAGTTAGTTCTAGTTCAGTTCTAGTTCAGTTCTAGTTCAGTTCTAGTTCAGTTCTCAGTTCTAGTTCAGTTCTAGTTCAGTTCTAGTTCAGTTTCTAGTTCAGTTCTAGGTTCTAGTTCTAGTTCAGTTAGTTCTAGTTCAGTTCTAGTTCAGTTCTAGTCAGTCTAGTTCAGTTCTAGTTCAGTTTAGCTCAGTTCTAGTTCAGTTCTAGTAGTCTAGTTCAGTTCTAGTTCAGTTCTAGTTCAGTTCTAGTTCAGTTCTAGTTCAGTTTGTTCAGTTCTAGTTCAGTTCTAGTCAGTTCTAGTTCAGTTCTAGTTCAGTTCTAGTTCAGTTCTAGTTCAGTTCTAGTTCAGTTCTAGTTCAGTTCTAGTTCAGGTTCTAGTTCAGTTCTTAGTTCAGTTCTAGTCAGTTCTAGTTCAGTTCTAGTTCAGTTCTAGTTCAGTTCTAGTTCAGTTCTAGTTCAGTTCTAGTTCTAGTTCAGTTCTCGTTAGTTCAGTTCTAGTTCAGTCTAGTCAGTTCTAGTTAAGTTCTAGTTCAGTTCTAGTTCAGTTCTAGTTCAGTTCTAGTTCAGTTCTAGTTCAGTTCTAGTCAGTTCTAGTTCAGTTCTAGTTCATTCTAGTTCAGTTCTAGTTCAGTTCTAGTTCAGTTCTAGTTCAGTTCTAGTTCAGTTCTAGTTCAGTTCTAGTTCAGTTCTAGTTCAGTTCTAGTTCAGTTCTAGTTCAGTTCTAGTTCAGTTCTAGTTCAGTTCTAGTTCAGTTCTAGTTCAGTTCTAGTTCAGTTCTAGTTCAGTTCTAGTTCAGTTCTAGTTCAGTTCTAGTTCAGTTCTAGTTCAGTTCTAGTTCAGTTCTAGTTCAGTTCTAGTTCAGTTCTAGTTCAGTTCTGGTTCAGTTCTAGTTCAGTTCTAGTTCTGTTCTAGTTCAGTTCTTGTTCAGTTCTAGTTCAGTTCTAGTTCAGTTCTAGTTCATTTCTAGTCCAGTTCTAGTTCAGTTCTTTTTCAGTTCTAGTTCAGTTCTAGTTCAGTTCTAGTTCAGTTCTAGTTCAGTTCTAGTTCAGTTCTAGTTCAGTTCTAGTTCAGTTCTAGTTCAGTTCTAGTTCAGTTCTAGTTCAGTTCTAGTTCAGTTCTAGTTCAGTTCTAGTTCAGTTCTAGTTCAGTTCTAGTTCTAGTTCTAGTTCATTTCTAGTTCAGTTCTAGTTCAGTTCTAGTTCAGTTCTAGTTCAGTTCTAGTTCAGTTCTAGTTCAGTTTCTAGGTTCAGTTCTAGTTCAGTTCTAGATCAGTTCTAGTTCAGTTCTAGTTCAGTTCTAGTTCAGTTCTAGTTCAGTTCTAGTTCAGTTCTAGTCAGTTCTAGTTCAGTTCTAGTTCAGTTCTGGTTCAGTTCTAGTTCAGTTCTAGTTCAGTTCTAGTTCAGTTCTAGTTCAGTTCTAGTTCAGTTCTAGTTCAGTTCTAGTTCAGTTCTAGTTCAGTTCTAGTTCAGTTCTAGTTCAGTTCTAGTTCAGTTCTAGTTCAGTTCTAGTTCAGTTCTAGTTCAGTTCTAGTTCAGTTCTAGTTCAGTTCTAGTTCAGTTCTAGTTTCAGTCCTAGTTCAGTTCTAGTTCAGATCTAGTTTAGTTCTAGTTCAGTTCTAGTTTAGTTCCTGCAAGAGGGGACAAGACAATTCGTGAGTAAATGAAAGTGCTACATATTTCTCTCAATATAATATATAAACATGCTTACCATTTTAGGGTTAAATTTTCCATAAAATGCTGTACAGTGAGTCATATTTTTTTAATATTTTATTTTTTGAAGAAAAAACATGTTTTTTATTTAATTGTCATTTGTTTTTTTTTAGTTGTTGTTGCTAAACATTAATTTACAAGTATGTACGTTCTTTTTGTTGATTTTGTTTTCTTTGATTATTGCAAATATTTTTTATTTAATTTTTTTAGTTTTTTGTTAAATATTTTTTGTTTTTTTTACTAACAATTTTATTGTTCTAACAATTGCTTTAAATGTATGAGTGTTTTTCATGATTCTTTCAATACTAACATTTAGTTTTTTTTTAACGGTTTTTCCTAAGATTATTTTATTCAGCTTAAATTTTGTATTAAGAAAAATAAAAATTTTTTGTTTTTTTAAATTATAAGAAAAATTAATGAAAATGTTTTTTTTTCTAATGAAATGTGTTTGGTGTTTTTTTTAATATTTTTATTTTAATTAATATTAATTGTATTTTTTAATAAAAAAGGCATTTAGGTGAATATTATATTTGGTTTTTTTTTTGTTTAAATACTTTTTTGAAACTTATTTTTGTTTAACATTGTCTTGGAATTGTTTGTAGTGTTGTTTTATAAAATTGTTGTTTTTGTTTTTTTTTTTTTTGTTTGTTTTGAAAATAAGTACAAATTTATTTTGTTTTTAAGTTTTTTAGTGGTTATTATTCTTAAATATATATTTAAAATATAAATAATTATTATATAGTAATATAAATAACTTAAATAGTTTAAAGCATTGTATTTCTATTTTTTTAATAATTCTGGGTAAAATTAACTGTTATAACAGTTAACTTTCACTAATAATACCTTTCAGAGGTTATTATTTCAAATTCATTAAACCAGTGACTTTTACAAGTCCTTGGGTACAGTTTGAAAAAATTCGTCCCGGCCGAATATTTTTAAATTATTTTTTTAAACTTTTTATTACTTTTTTTTTTATAAAATTTAATATTCTAATAAAATTTGCATAAATATTTAATTTGTTAATCCATTATAACCAAAAACTAAATTGCTTAATATTTCACTTCAAGCTAACACATTGCTCTTAAAAATTTTTTCCTACTCCGATTTTAATATTCTCTACAATAAGGCCTATTTACACATATGTACTCACACTTAACTTCATAATATATATTTTTTTATTTAACATTTATATACATTAAACTTAAGAAATTATAAAAATAACAAATATAAATCATAAACATATTTAACCACTCGTTTATTTTCGAAAACTACTCTATAGTTTCAAAACTTTCACCACAGCCTAAAGATCATATATTGTACAGGAACTACTAGTATTACGGCCATAAGCCAGGAACCACTAGCACCTATCATTAAAGCACCATTACAGTTGTCTGTATAACAATTGGAACAGTGAAATTGTTCTGCATCATTTTGTTGTTGCACCATACGACGTCCATTATTGTTATTATTATTATTGTTCATATTACTTTGAGTCAAACGATTATCACCTGCCGGCGGAAGATTTAATTTTGAGCGTAATATTTGACAGGCATCCGATTCTCCTGCACTTAGTTGACAAATCTGGCCGTTACCATTTTGTTGGTGTTTGCTTTTTAGGGTTAAACGAAAAAAATTACATTTGATTAATGGTTATACTAAACTATACTTACGATCTTTGGCCACGACTTTTTGACAATTCATTTGTGGACTTCGATTGGCTCCCGTATCGAAATAGGCAATTTTATTTAGTTCAAAAAGCCAAGTATCAATGGATTTCATTTTTTCTAGGGTACATTCCTGAAAGAAGAAATAAGAGAAAAGTAATTTTTTTAATGAAAATATAAACAAACTCTATAGTCTCATTTTCTTGACTATAAACCGACTTTTTATAGTCTCGACTTTAGACAGACTATAGTCTCGACTTTAGATAGACTATATTCTAAACAGGACTATAGACTCGGCTATAGACATACTATAGTTTCGACAGTAGACAGACCATAGTTTCGATATAGACAGACTCTAGTCTTGACTATTGATTAACTGAGGGCTCGACTATAAACAAACTATAGTCTCGAACATAGGTAGTCTACAGTCTCGACTTTAGACAAACAATTAGACTCATATATAGAGAGACTATAGAATCGATTATAAACAGATTAAAGTCTCGACTATAGACAGACTGTAGAAAGACTATAGTCTTGGTTATAGTCAGACTATAGTCTCCACTATATACAGAGAATAGTATTGACTGTTGACAAATTATAATCTCGACTATAGACAGACTATAGTCTATAATATAAACTGTCTTAACTATAGTCAGACTGTAATCTCGACTATAGACAGACCATAGTCTCGACTATAAACAGTCTTGACTATAGACTATAGTCTCGACTATAAACAGACTATAGACAGTCTCAACTATAAATAGACTATAAACAGACTTTAGTCTTGACTATAGATATAATATAGTCTCGACTAAAGAAAGACCATAGTGTCGACTATAAACAGACTGTAGTCTCGACTATAGACAGACTATAATCTCGACTATAGACAAAATATAGTTTTGACTAAAGACAGACTATAGTCGCGAACATAGACAGAACATAGTCTCAACTATAAACAGACTATAATCTCGATTACAAACAGACTAAAGTCTCGACTATAGACAAACCATAGTCTCGACTAAAGACAGACCATAATATCGACTAAAGACAGAGCATAGTCTCGACTATAAATATACTATAGTCGCGGCTTCAGGACAGATCATAGTCTCAACTATAAATAGACTATAAACAGACTTTAGTCTTGACTATAGAC